GTTGGTCCAAGTGAGCCAAAAATCATTGGGTTTTGAATAAGAAATTGCCAAGAAATTGCTTCATGATGTTAGATTCATGAATAGGATTTTAAAGGGTATTTAAATCTTTTTTCTTGGCTAAAGGGTGTGAATCCTTTGGGCATCCATACTTTTCATTTTGTGGAAAGGGGCTATGGATGCTTGGTGTTTTAATGACTAGCCTTAAAGGCTGGAGGCTTTTTCTCTCTCCCCTATACATGTATAAATTGAGACCCTCCTGTCAAGTTTCAATATAGAAATTTTTGCTTCCATTTTACAAGTCAGTTTGCTTGATAGTTCCTATTGTGAGAGAGTGCTGCCATTGTTTTGTTCGCTAAGCTAGACAGATAGTGCTTCTGCCGTAGCTGGTTTTGACCGTCGTATCCTGGGAGACAGACGCCGGGTTTCCTCAAGCACTCGACCCGTGAGGCGGCGAAATCTGTTTTAAGGAAACTGCTTCCGTGCAGGCTTCGGTTTTGTCTCTTTACCCTTTATTGTTTTTTGTGTATTTCTGTTGAAATTTAGTTGTAATTATCAGCATATGTTCTTGGTATATAATTTGTTTTCTTCATAAATCTATTTATTTAATTTCACAATTTTGAACAACACCTCCCATGCTAGAGAGAGAGAAAATAAGTTTTTAATTGCAACCTTCCAGTTTGAACTTATTTCAGGTCGGTTTAATGATTTAAATTGTTTAAATTTAGTATTTTGAGTATATTGTAAAAAAAATAAGTGCATTGAATATTATCCATATGCTTTATTTTTAAAAAAATTGAAAAAAAAATTGGTTTTTTAAAAAAGATATACAAAAATTATAACATAAAACTAAGCAATTACCAAAACCCAATTTAAGCTTGCTGATGGAGTTTCCTGGCAAAGGGAAGGAAAAAGAGAACGAAGATGAGACGATTTGATGTCCACCGTCCAATCACCGGACCAATCAGTGAGGTAAGCTATGGAGATCAATTTCCTCACAACTACCATCTACCAAAAAATCATTATGTTATGTTTGGAAAGGGTAGTAAACATTAAAAAAATAAAATAAAGAAAATGGTGTGAAAGACATGTAAATGGAATCTTTATTCTGTACAAGTCAACAACCAATGGTAGTGTGTTTCCCATTTGATTTCTTTGAAACTGTTTGAGGGTCTGCATTTCTTTTCATTACATTTCCAAAAGTTGTGAGTGAAAATTGATTCAACTCTTTTCTCATCTGGGTTTGATTTCAATTCCAACTCTCAAAACAGATTAGAGTATGGCTGATCTACTCATTTCTCCCCTTGTTAGATCAATTTTGGCAACCTTGAACTCTTTAGTGCTAAAAGAGTTTGGGATAGCATGGGGTTTGAAAACAGAGCTAGAAAACTTAGAGAGCACACTAAGTACCATTCAAGCAGTCCTTCAAGATGCAGAGACCAAGCGAGGGAAGACCGAGGCTCTGAAGAATTGGCTGAGAAAGCTTAATGATGCAGCTTATGATGCAGACAATCTGGTGGATGAGTTCATGACTGAAGCTATGAGAAGAAGGATGGATTCTGAGAGAGGCATAAAACCCCAAGTAAGTGCCTTTTTCTCTCTTCGAAATCGGCTTATATTTCGATTGAAAATGGGGCATAAGATCAAGGATATGAGGGATAGGTTAGATGCCATTGCTGGGGAGAAAAATCAGTTTCACTTGAGGGAAGGTGTGGTGGAAACCGATGAAGTTTGTGTGATGGAGACAGGACAAACTAGTTCATTGGTGAATGAATTGGAAATTTATGGGAGAACTGATGAGAAAGAAATGACAATTGAAATGTTGCTCAACAATTCAAGTGATCGTGATGATGATGTTTCGGTCTATGCTATGTGTGGTATGGGGGGACTTGGAAAAACCACACTTGCTCAATTGGTCTACAATGATGGAAGGGTGGAGAGCTACTTTGAGCTGAGAATTTGGGTGTGTGTCTCTGTTGATTTCGATGTAGAGAGACTAACCAGAGCAATCCTTGAGTCCATAGAAGGTGGTGGGTGTAGTATCTCAAACTTGGATCCACTTCTACGTCTCCTCCAAGAAAAACTGTTTGGGAAGAGATTTTTACTTGTCTTGGACGATGTATGGAATGAGTACCATGAGAAGTGGGATAGGCTAAAAAATGCACTAAAGTGTGGAGCTAAAGGCTGTACCATTATAGTAACAACAAGGATTCAGAAAGTTGCTCTTATCATGGCTACACTTCCTATACACCACATGGCTGGTCTGTCAGAGGATGATTCTTGGTCCTTGTTTAAACGACGTGCATTTGGCAACGAAAGAAGAGAGGAAAACCTTCAATTGGATCTCATTGGGAAGGAAATAGTGAAAAAATGCAAAGGGTTACCCTTAGCAATAAAGGCTTTGGGAAGCCTCATGCAATTTAAAAGAAGTGAAAGTGAATGGCTATCTGTGAAGGAGAGTGAGATTTGGGATTTGCCAGATGATGGAAGTGGTATTTTACCTTCATTGAGGTTGAGCTATGAAGCCTTACCTCCACATTTGAGGCAATGTTTTGCTTATTGCTGTATATTTCCCAAAGATGGTGTGATGGAGAAAGACAACCTGATACAATTGTGGATGGCAAATGGTTTTATTCCATCTAAAGGAAAAACGACATTGCATATTGGCCATGAGATTTTTAAGGACTTGGTTTGGAGGTCGTTCTTGGAAGAAGTGAAAGAGCGCAAGGATGGAAGAATATTTTGTGCAATGCACGATCTTATGCATGATCTTGCACAATCTATCATGAGAAATGAATGCTCTATTATGGAGTATCACAAGGGCATGAAAATTCCAAAGAAAATTCGTCACTTGTCTTTTAACATTGGCTCTGGAGAGATGGTTCCTTGGAATGAGATTGTATCTGAAGTCCCATCTTTGCGGTCTCTCATTTTACGTTGCTGGAAAAAGGATTCTTCACCTTTTATTTCAAAACAAAAGTATCTCAGAGTGTTGGATGTGGGTCCCAGTGCTTTTAAGATGTTATCAATATCAATTTCCAATTTCGGCCATCTTAGGTACCTAGACATGTCGGGCTCTAGTATAAAAACTCTACCCGAATCAATAAGTAATCTCCAAAACCTGCAAACACTGAAGCTAAAATATTGCAGAAAACTTTGTAAGTTGCCCAAACACATGAAGCACGTGAGAAATCTCACTTACTTGGACATCACAGGGTGTGATTCTCTTACTTCAATGCCTGACCAAATGGGACAATTAACTTGCCTACAAAGACTAAGCATGTTCATTGTGGGCCAAGATGAGGGTTACCAAATTGGTGAGCTGAAAGAATTAAATCTTGGGGGTACGTTGAGCATAAAGAGACTCGAGAACGTAAGAAATTTAGAAGACGCCAAGAAGGTCAATTTGAAGAGGAAACAAGATCTTATTTCTTTGGAATTGTATTGGAGCAAGAGCAATGAAGAAAACATATCAAAAAATGTCGAAGAAGTTCTTGAGAGTCTCGAACCTAATTCGAATTTGAAGAAGTTGAGCATAAATTTCTTCCAAGGATCAAAGTTTCCCAATTGGATGTCGGTTTTGGTTCTTAAAAATCTGGTTGAGATCTCTTTAAGAGATTGTGAAAGATGTGAACATCTTCCTCCCCTTGGCAAACTACAATCCCTAAAAATTCTCAACATCAGACGCATGTGTTCTCTTAAGTACTTCAACCATGGGGATTATGGAGATGGGGAAAGTTCATTTCCTGCATTGGAGACTCTCAAGTTCAATGAAATGCCAAGCTTGGAGGAATGGGCAATGGTGGATAGAGGAGAAATTTGCCCTTGCCTACGGGAGTTGGTGATATCTGGATGCCCCAAATTGACTAAATTGCCTTTTCTTCCAGCACTTGAGAGATTAACAATTGAGGAAGGCAATGAAATGTTATTCAGATCAGTGATTAATCTTACTTGGATTTCCTATTTTAGGATAACAAAGTGTAATTTGAAGATTCTTCCAGATGGACTGGATAATCTATTTGCTCTAAAGACCTTAAGCCTTTATCGTTGTCCTGAACTTGAAAATTTGTCAGTACTCAAAAACCTACACTCTCTGCGGACACTATCTATATGGGGATGTAATAGTCTTACATCCCTTCCAGTGCAAGGGTTGCAAGGCTTGACTTCCCTTACATCCTTAAAAATTACCAGCTGTGATAAGCTAATATCTTTGTCAGATGGAATGCAATATTTGACAGCACTTCGGGCCTTGAGTATCCAGCAATGTCCAGAGATACAATCTTTTCCAGAGGGTATACAACATTTTAATGCTCTCCGAGATTTGGATATACAAAATTGCGTCGGATTAATTTCTCTACCAAATTGGCTAGGAAGCCTCCAGTCATTATCATCCTTATCGATTTTCCAATGCCCTAATCTGAGGTGTTTGCCAGATGGGCTGCAGGATCAGAAGACTCTGAAAAGGCTGTCAATTACAGAATGTCCACATTTGGAGCGCCGGTGCGAGAAACAGACTGGGGAGGATTGGCTGAAGATAGCTCATATTTCCGAGATTTGGATCAATGATGAACAAGTACAATCCTTGGATTGTTAATGTGCTATTTTGAAGCCGAGATTCACATCCAACAGTGTTTGTAGAAAGCTGATTCGAGGAAGTGTGAGAACATAGTCCCAAGTTAGTGCAGAATTGAAGACTGGAGTTTTTGATGGAGTGTGCTTGAAGAATTTTGTGGCTGGCCTCAATGGGTTTGCACACTGGTTGAATAATACATCATAGTTTTCAAGGTTCGTTTTCTTTTTCTTGAATAATAGTACATCATAGTCAGAATTGAATTTAATTAACTTGTGAAATTAGAATATCACTAAATTTTGATATCTTTCATTTATCTCTCGTATAGGTTAAAGAAATTTGAAATTGTATTTCATAGCAGAGTTACGGAATGCTGTCATTTCTCTAATTGCTCTGAAAAGCTTTTGTGGAATTAGATTAGATCATAGATGACCATGAAGAATTGTAATAATTGGTAGCTGCAAAACATTGCACAGGATGGTGTTTTCAGATGCTAGATGTTGTGGATTTTTTTGTTCCAGGTGCTTCCTAGTTTCATTGTTCCTCTTTGAGGGATGTGATTTCCATTTATTTGCTCATTTTTATCTGTTTAGAGCCATTTAAATGGATATTATTTATTTTTATTTAATTTTTTATCAGAATTTCTTTGGGCCCACCATTGTATGTTTGGTATGTTTAATCTTAAGTTTGTTTTATGTCTTTGTGCTTCAAAAAATTGTTTCCAAGAAGAGCGCATCAACAGGTTGGTACTTAGAGCATCTCTTTTACCTTCTTTTTCTTTTTTTTTCCCCATCAAATTTGTTCAATAATTTGGATCCAAATTTTAATTTGATATAGCTTGGCGAAAATCAAAATTTTCATCAAATATTTTTAACATTAACCAACCTATCAGGAAAACCTATGTTTTAATCTATTCAAGTGTAAAAAACTAATTTTCAAACCTTCATCTTTTAACAATTTGTTTAAAAGTAAAAAAAATTGTTGTTAGAAATTTGATGAAAATTTGGATGAAATTCAATACCACCCAAACAAGGCCAACCCAGTGCAAATGCTTCGAGATGTAATGAAAGTGGAGATAGGTTGCTTAGGGGTCTAAAGTGTTTGTTTGGTCTGTCAACAAGTGAAAGCTGGAACTACCAAACGTGGCCTTAACTACTCAAAAAGTATTTTCTAAATTCATTAAAATTATTCATGTTTTTCACATTAGGCTGCCAGTTATTGATCATTTGACTATACTAGTTGAACCCCATGCGCTACGGGTCACATTATCATTGATGAAAATAATAAGGAAAAGATGTAGTGTTTTTTTTTTTTTTTTTTTTTTTTGAGAAATTCTCCAATGCAAAATATACAATATTTCTTCTTTTCTATCCTATCAATCATAACCACATCTTATATTTCACGGAATTGTAAACCAGCAAATAAATTGGCCCCCTTGTCTTCAAATGAAACTCTTTGGGTTAACCGGTTGGAAGGATTGTTTTATGTTTCTCTTTTTTCCTGCTCTCTACGCTGCCACTCCTTCCAAAGGTAGAACTGGAAACAAATCCACCTTCGAGTTTTCTCTGCAAAATTAATTGGAAAATAACATTAGTAATTTGCGTGGGCACAAATGATGTAGTGAGAGTAAAAATGTATAAAGATGTAGTGAGTGTGAAAATGTATAAAAGATTTGATTAGTTATGTTTAAGCAGTTGGAAGGTTATCCAAACACAAATTAGAACAGAAGGTGTGGAATTTGCCTAATAATACTATTTTTAAAGTGAAGAAGTGAATGAGATTAGACTATCATTTGCTCTTCATACCTGGATAGTGTAGGATTTGCATAGGTGGTGGAATGAGATAAGATGGTTGCTGCTAGTGGTGCCTGGTGAGTTGGGTATGCTAGCTAAAATGCTACATGGCCTCTGTTCTGTCTTGATGCAGGTTGTATCTTGCGTGGCTATAATGGAAGAAAATAAGAGGGGTAGAAGCGTGAACGAACAGAGAGCAAAATGGCAAACATGAAAAAAGAATGAATCTGAAGCAGTAACTTAGGACATATGAGAGCCCATGAAAACCGCTTAAATCAAAACAAAAACATCAACAATCTAACAAAGCAACGAGAAGTTAATCAATATATATGATATTTTCATCTATTGTTCCATTATCTTCACTCAATTTTCTCAACACCAAAAATGATTAGATAAGTAGGGATCCATTTACACTCATTACAACAAATAGCACTTTTGGCGACAAAAAAAAGTCAATTTTTAGTCGCCGAAACTTTTAGCGACTAAAATTTTTAATCGCCACGCTAGTCGGTGCCCAATTGTCGGGAAAGGTTCTAGCAACTTAAAAGAATTTAGTTGCCGAAAGTCATCAATTGCCAACTAATTTTTTAGTTGCCAAAACCTTACTAAAAAAAATTTGTCGCCAAAAACTAAAATTATTTAGGACATCTAAAATTTTAGTCATGAAAAAATTTTCATTCATATTATTTTTTTAACTACTAAATATTTTAGTCACTTAAAGCCTGATTTTGTTTTTGGCTACTAAAGTTTTAGTCGCCAAATTTTTATTTTCATTTTATTATTTTTTTAGCTGCTAATGTCTAAGTCACCTAAAATTTGCTTTTTTTATGGCTACTAAATATTTGCCAAGAAGTTTTTTTTTTTTCATTTTATTTTTATTTTTAGCCACCAACTATTTAGTCGCTAAAAATATATATTTCCTTTTTGGCTACCAACTGTTTAGTCACCAAAAACATGATTTTATTTTTTTTTAAAATTATTTTGTCTGCAACCTGTATGTATTTCATGCAACCTGTACCATGTATATAAATAAAACAATACATATATTATCAACCTGTACGTACTCCATGCAGCCTATACCATGTATTTTTTTTTTTTTTTTGTGGTGAATTAAGTCATAAAATAAAATGGTAAAATATACAAACTTACAAGGGGCATACCCCAAGCCTTATATCACCAACAAATAACACCTAAACAAACAAAACCCAAACACTGAACAAAACTAAAACCAAGGAAACTAACAAAATACAAACTATAGAAGATCAATTGCAGAAGCAAATGATGGACCAAAACCAAACTAGGGCCCTATCATCAGCTACAACCATATCAGCAACTGCAGCCCTAAAGCCAGAACAGAGCCAGGAAAAGCAGCAGCTGCAGCCACCAGGAAATGCACAGCAGTAGCCAGCTCCGGCCACAACCTCACAACAACAGTGCAACAGCATCAAACCAACAAGCAACAGCAGCAGCAGCTGCCCAACTTCAACCAGCAACACTAGCTGCAAAGCTACACCAGCATCTTCCAGCAGCATCCAACCATAGAAATAAAGAAACAGGCCTCTTGGACTAGGATGCAGATCAAATTTAACAAAAGGAGTATATATCCCAATGGAGCCAACAACAGCCAATTGATATGCAAACACAAACAGCACAGCAGCACCAAGCAATAGAACAAAGAGAGGGTAATTTGTTCAAGCACCACATAACAGAGGCCATGGGGAGGTTGAATAGATGCAATCCCCTCAATAAGAACCAAACATGACTACCAACTGAAAACATGTTTATGACCAAACAAATATAGAGATAATACATGACACACAATATAGTCCTTAGTCACTCAACCCACAACTCTGTTTAAGCAGAGAAACTCAACAAGAATATATGCTCACTAACCACTCAACCCACAAACAAGAACTCCCTCACCAGATGTACCAGCTGGCTAACCTGCAGAACAAACCATTAGAAATATATATGAACTGCTTTCACTCTGCCCACAATTCTCTCCCACTCCTCACAAAGATTGTAATCTAGCAATATCTGACTTACATCACTCAACACACAACCATCCCTAATAAAAGGCCAGCTAACAAGCTGCATAACAAACAAATGGAGAGGAAATGTATGTATGCATGATTATGTGTAAGAGATGCCACATAATTAGTTAGAATGATTCAGATATGATCAGATGTACACAGTTGATATGGGTAATTGGAGAGGAAATGCATGTATGCATTTTTATATATGTTTTCACCAATTTATACATTGTGCACACCAAGGCAGCACACACCAACAGCACTAAAAAGATAAGTAAATTTATTTGGAGGCCAAAAGTAGTGATAAAATGTAATCAAACATTGTATCTCCTCTTCAACAATTCTAAGGCCTCGAGCTTATACTGACAGAGAAGAAGGATTTGGAAATCTAACACACAGCAAAACTGAGAAAAAAAATTAGTTTTCTTTCACTTGCAGATCTATTAAAGAAGAAAAGCAAGATAAACAAGTTATACCTGCATGTAGTATCTCGGCATTTGTAAGCAGACCCCCCAAATATCTGATACGGAATAGAAAAGAACTCGTTGTAAATTAAACCCACAATAAATTGAAAATAGCGACATCAAAAGGAACTGGCATGGCAAAATTGATATATATTCAATAAATAAAACACATCAAAAGTTGATTGTTCTACAAACCCTTTCCACAAATTTTAAGTTACAAAAATCAATCAATATTTTCTTTGGATTATATTTTTTTTAATTTTTTTTTGACTCTGTCTTTGGAACTTCCCTTAATTGATCACATAATGTTAGAGGGAAAATTTAAGAAAGAAGTGTTCTTAAGGTTATATTCTTTCTTTGGTATGGAAAGAAGAGATTTCATTACATTATGTGATTAAATTCAAAAAGCAAAATTTTCGCTTTGCAATTCAATAACAAACTCTAACTAACTTAATTTCCCTATGATTTACAAATCAATACAGCCCAAAAAACCCCATTTATTTTGTCCAAAAACCAAAATCACCCATTCAAATTCATTTTGCTTCCAACCTTGAACTAAAAATTCTGAATACTTCTCCAAAATCTAAATAAAATTAGAATATTTGTTAAGCAATACACGACCATAAGCAAAATATCAAACCAATCCCTTTGGATCCATTTGGTTAGCTCATGGGCAGCAGCCAACCCCCTGCTACAACAAAAACAAAATTTATAAGACTAAACTGATATAATAAAATTCAATGGATAAAACAACAAATCAACAACAAATAACAAGATTGTTTACAGGGTCTTAAAAAAGTAATAGACAATGCTGAAACTATATTTATCACAGCGTACCAATCCTCACTCCCAAAGAAAGAAAGAAAGAAAGGGGGAAAAAAAACCGAGAAAAAAAAAAAAAGAAACAATAGAAAAACACAAAAAACCCAATAAATATAGAAAAACTCCATATCAATATTTCAAGAGTATTTAGCAAATTCATAAGTGTTTAGCAAAAAATAGTATAGATATATATAGATCCGTATATATCATCCTTTCTAAAGAATGGAGAATTAGAATGCATCAAAAACAACAATAATGCCTTTTATTGTATTTTTTTTTTGGTTGATAAATAATGCCTTTCATTGTGAATTGACATTTGATGTTTGAGGTTTTTATATTGGTACCAAACTAGACAATGTGCTATCGTTATGAGATTCAATTTACCCTATTTTTGTTTCGAAACAAAAAGCATGGTGAATGACCTTTGCTAAAACGTCTTACTCAGCAGTTGCAGCAACCATCAAAACTCAGCTGTGAATTTTTTCTCTACTCTTTTGTTCTCTTCAACAAAGCAAAAAATTAGGTGCTACAAAAATCAACACCCATTTCCTATTAAAGAATCATCCATTTCAGAAATCAAAACCATGTCAGAAATCAAACTGAAAATAAAAATTCATTTATGAAATCAAAACCTATATAAAAAATGAAACCCATTTCATGAAGATCAAGTATTATTTCAGACCCAAAAATCTTTTAAAAAATTAAATCCATTTAAGAGACAAAACCTATTTAAAAAGTCAAAACTGTAAATAGAAACCCACACAATGACCAACCCAACCAAACACCCACACATGCCATAAACGTTTATGGTTTAAAATTGATGAATTGCAATTTCAACAAAATGAAGATAAATGATTTGAGTGAAAATGATTTGAGATACAACAAAATGAAAAAATATCCAGGTTCAACAAAAATAACCATATTTAAAAATATCTAGATTGAACTTTACAAACTCACAAAAATATCCCGATTCAAGCAATCAGAAACAACCAAACCCACAAAAATATCATGAATTGCAAAAGTTGGAAGTTGTATTTTACCTTGCAAGAAGAGGGAGACGAAAGAAGAGGGTGAGAGGAGAGGAGAGGAAAGGTGGTCGGTGCTGTCGTCGAGAGAGGATGATGGCAAGATGAGAGGTGGTCAGCAGCATTGAGATGGCGGTGGTGGCAAGAGGAGAGAGACGAAAGAGAAGGACTAGAGGAGAGGCAGAGGACATTGACTGAGAGAGAGAGAGAGAGTAGCTTATGAGAGAAAAAAGTTTTGAGGGGAGAGAGAGAGCAGTGACTTTATGGACGGGAAAACAAACGTTAATTGGCGACTAAACATTTTAGTCACCAATTAATTTGATATATCCTTCCAAAATTTAAAATGTCTCCCTTCAAATATTTTAGTTTTTTGGCGACTAAAAATGTTTTTAGTCGTTGAAACTAAATTTTTGGTGACAAAACTTTGGTTGCCAAAGATAAAAAGTAAATTTTTGTTTTTATTCGGGTGACTAAAATATTTTTTAGTCGCTGAAAATAAATTTTTGTTTTTCATTCGGCGACTAAATAATTTTAGTAGCCAAAACTAACTATACAGCGACTAAAAATTTTTTTAGTCGCCAATTTTTAGCGACTAAATTTTTTTTTTAGTTGCCAATAATCAATATACCCCGACTAAAAAAAATTAGTAGCTAAATATTGTACTTTTGCCGACTAATATAATTTTTGGTTTCCAATTCCACAACTTTTGGCAACTAAATTTTTTTTAGTTGCCAAATTTGGTTGCCAAAAGTGCAATTTGTTGTACTGACTTATCAACTAACCATTGGCACATTGACAATCAAAGTGTCTTCATTTCAAAGCCTCATCTTCACTAATCCGTTGTTTTGAGAAGTTAGTTAAAAGTTAACTTTTTGGTTTTTTTTTTTTTTTGGCTTTTTTTGAAAGAACGTGTAAAAAAGTTGAGAGATGATGTGACTCAAAATAGGTTAAAAGCTAGCTTTTGGCTTTTAGCCATCTTCCCAAAAGAGTTAGCTTCACCTTTGTAATCAATTCTATATATGTCACTAAATCCATTTCTGAACTGCGCACCAAAGTTTGAAGAAAATGCAAAATCAGAGCAAAAACACAACAAAATCTGAAGAAAATGCAAATCAAATGAAGAACGTAAGGGTGGAAATTGTGACCACAGAGATTCCAAATGGAAAAAATACCAAATCAGAGCAAAATGCATAGCAAGAGAGAGATGCTTGAGAGTGAGACATTCAGATGACGAGAAGGTGAGGAGATATCAAATACCCAATTTTTAAAAACATGCCATAAAAATTAACAAAACACTTCTATATTCATAAATTACTAATACAGTATTGCCACTGCAATTCTACAAACAACCAAAAATCAAATTCACAAGAAAAAATACCTCAACAAATATTATCTACCACATGAACATGTAAAACTTTGAATAAGAATATGCTACAAGCACTTCATCTTTTGATGCTTGTGGAAAATCGTTGTTCAGTTGGCTGCAAGGTTGGCTGTAATACCTTTGCCAGATAAGTATAATATCATATATATGTTGCCATTGCATGTCAGAAAATTACAAGCTTCTTGATAATAAGCCTCCAATGAAAGAACAAATCAATCAATAAATAAAAATAATTCTTTGCAAAGTTCAAATAAAAGAACACTATGGTCCTTTTTACTTTGTTGTCCATGTTTTTTGAGCAACATTGTAATAAAGCACAAATATTTTTGGACGTTTGGAACTTTTACAGACCAGAATTTCTGCTATTTTTTTGCATACAACTCCACAACTATTGACCCATGATATTTCATTGCCCTTTCATTTTATCAGAAATATATCCATGTATCAACAGGAAACAACCATAAATTAGCAATTAGCAACAGGAACAACCAATTGGCTGGATTGGAAATAAAGAAAAACAAAAAAGGATGGGAAAAAAAAGAATGTGAATAAAAATTTTTTGGGGGGAACTGCTACAATGTGCACTTGTACATTGTAAGAAAAGTTACAATTTTTATGGTTAGAGTTATGAATTTTTGTGAAAGAATAATAAGACATGAAAAGTAAAAACCCCACCAAACCCTCAATGAAATTGGGAACTTTGGTTCACTTGAATTAGAGAAATGGGTATGCAGAAAAACAGAGATTGCTAACCAAGCAAGGGTTCTGTTCTGAGTACTAAATCCAAAAGGGTTACAATCTTTTCATCAGTCCAACCATTTCTATACCAATAAAAACAGTTCAACAAACTAAGAACCAGGTTAAAAAGTGAAAGACCCAGACAACACAATAGAGTTTGTTTGTTGTAAAATATTCTAGTTTTTCTAGTACTCTGTTTTGAGAACAAATAACAAAAGCGAAGGAATACAAAAACAGACCACGAATACAAAAACGAACCAGCAGCAAAGAACAAATAACAAAAATGAAGGAATACAAAAATAAATTACGGAAAATAAATTATAAGAGATTTCATTTCTGGTTTACTGGTTATGTTAACAACAACAAGAAAAATAAATTATACAGAGAACTAGGAGTAAATGTTTAAATGAAAATATAAAAAATAAAAACTATCAACAATTAATCATTTCTAATGCCCCCCAATTCAAAATTCCAGTTATCCAAACCACCGTCATCTCACAATCAGACTAAAACTCCAAGTCAGTAAGAGATTTGAAACTATCTCATTAGCTTATTTGAATGGAAATATTCTGTTGAGAGAAATAAGAGTCCATCAATTGGACAGTTGAAGTTTAATTGATTAAGATATTCAACATGCAGCATGATAAAGTGCACATAATACATCTAACCAAATAATAGAATCTAGGAAAACATAAATTCGCTTTAGATATTGACCATAGGTGTTCATGAACATTAGATTTAGAGACCAACCTAGATACTCTGATTGGCCTACAAATTGGCTCTCTGTTAGTATACATGTATCATAGGTTAGCAGTCAGAATTTACTGACCTCATGTTTGTATGGTCATTTACATTACAATATTCGTGAAAGTACCTCCACATGTGTTGACACATGCACACAAACTTGCGAATTAGTCACCTTTGAAGTTTGTTGTGGTATTGGCATTTGTCTAGTTATATAATTTTTAGCTTCTCAACTTATTTTCAGTTCTAATTGAAATCCTTCTCTTAATCTCAGGACAAGCCTGAGCAACCAATTGAAGGCTGTCTTCCTGATGCTATAAAGGGTTAGTGTTGTTAACTATGCCCTAGTCACACTATATATATTTATTTCTTAAGGGAAAAAAAAAAATGAATTTAATTAAAAACACCAAATTGTAAAACTGACTTAAACAGAATTTTCAGAATACGCCATCTACTAAATGTAATCTAACATTGATTTCTGGAAAATCAGGCAGATTATCGGTTTGGACTAAAGTCAATGGAGCAATCCAACATTTCAATATATCTGTTGCGTTAGTGGTCCAAGACAGGACGTGAGAATGTTCCAATTTTGCTTTATAAAATGGGAAAACAGTTACAACCACTTGGTGGGCAATAATCAAACACTTGGTGATGAGCATGTTCCAATTGTTTCTGATGAATTTCTCACTTGAACATAGAATCAAACACTTGGTGGGCAGAAATTTTAACAAATGTAAATAAAGAAGAAGTCCATCCCAAAACACAAATTCATGAACAGTTAATTTCGACAAGAAGAAATTAAATTCAATATAGGCAGTAACCAAGCTCATAAACAGATATCTAAAAAACAATTTTCAATGAAGCAAACATATGACAATGGAAGAAAGAATTGGATTTCACAGCAACTAAAAAATGGAAATTGAAGAATGTCATACCTCTTCTGTTTCGTTGACAAAACGCAGATTATTTTGCACCAACGCAATGAAACACTACACCTCTCAACATCGCATAACTTGTGTAACAAGCCTGGGTGAAAAGCTGCAGCAACACAGGTGGCAAGAGGTGATGCACAGCTTGCTAGAGAAGCTGCAATTGACGCGGAGCTTGCTGGAGCGTGATCAACAATCTTCAAGGAGGGTGAACTGGCCATTTCAACTGGGTTAGACACACTGGTGTGGTGTTAGACACAGATTTTCCTGCTTTTATAGATAGTTATAGATAATGCACAACAAAAATTCTAAACACGCATACTGTTGGGATCTGGGATCCCGCCCAAGACCTTATAGAAATCAAAACAAGCAGAAAAACACACCCACACACAAGGAGACACAATATTTTACGTGGTTCGGCCCAATGCCTACGTCCACGGGAGAGTAACCGGTTATCACTATACCAATGAGGAGATTACAGAAAGATTACAATAGAGGAGGAGCTCACACTCTCCTCACTCAGCCACTCACCCGTCTCCCTCGCTCACACCGAGAGAGACGGTCTCTCCGCCTCACATCTCTCACTCTCTTTGTTGTCTCACGGTTTGCTCACTTACTCACATTTTGCTCTCTCCTCTCAACCTCCATTTATAGGTGAGGGAGTAGGTGGGAGAGCCTTTGGGCAGCCTCCATTCTTGACTCTTCAAGATGGTTGGTGGCCGCCAAGGTGGACTTTGGTTGGTTGCCTTCCCATTGTTGCCAACCAAACTTGACTTGGATGATCACCACACATGGGTGAATTCAACACATACCTAGGTCTCGTTTGGTAGCAATGTCAATTTCAAGTTTTCTGTTTGCAAAAAAACACGTAACAAAACTTGTTTCAAACGTGTAATTCGCCCAAAACAAAAATAACATAACAAACAAGTTTCATTTTGTGCAGTGGAAGATTGATCTTTGTCCTGATGGGGCATCACTGTTTTTATCTACATTCCTAATAAGGGTGCCAGCAATGACATTATGCATAAAAATACTTGTTTGCTATCTCGTCCACCACGTGCTTCTGATTGCTCCATTTGTAATAACTGTGTAGAGAGGTTTGATCATCATTGAATGAGTTCATGCCATTTTTTCTTGTCATATCCACTGAATCCCTAAATTTTTTCTTTGTGTAATGAATAAGCGGGTTTAGTATGCAACATTAACTTGTTTGATGAAATGCCTCAATAAAATTGTTGTTTTTCTGTGTGTTTATTCAACATTTGATTCTGAGCCCAATCAATTCCTAATCAACCCTAAATCTTTTCCTACCAAGACCTAACTTGAATAATGCCTGATTGCTTTTCCTGAGCCCACTATGACTTTTTCAATTTCCATTGGAATGGTTACTTCAGTTTTCATTAGACGCTAAGGCCAAGTTTGGGAAGACTAAATAAGTGTACTTTTTGATTTTTTATGAAATATGAGTTGGATTTGGGTTGGGTTTGAAGTGACGTATTAGAGAGGTGATGTGACCTAAATAAGATGATGTGACTTAAATAGGATAGTGACTTTTTGGATTTTTTGGAGGATGCCAAACTTGGCCTAAATTGCACCTTAAAGTACCTATTTTGACAATACGGTTAAAAGTTAAGGTTCTATTTGTTTGTGTTTTCAAATTAAGTTTCTGCTTCACGTTTTGATAGTACGTTCAAAATACAATTTCGTGTACTAATTCAAACTACAGTTTGAAAATCCGTTTGACAGTTTGTACTTCTGTTCTCCATTTTCAACGTTTCTGCCTCCTTCATCTTTTGATCTGAAAAGCTTTCATGTCCATCTTCATCATCTCTGAAAATTTCACGTGAATCTCATCTTTCTTTCTCTGTATCAAACATCAGTACTGAAGATTCGTCACGGGTAGGATTCACAGAGAAGTTAGACTCATTTTATAAATAACTAGTGGGTGGCACACACGATGTGTGTGCAATTTAAATAAGTAGGAATAAAAAAAAATAATAATGAAATTAATAATATAATGTGTACTTAGCTTAAGTGGTATGAGTCCTCGTACTTAAACCCATGGTCATGGGTTCAAGCCTTGCCCATCTCTTTGTTTAACTTTTTTTTTTAAAAAATAAAAAATACTGCCACGTGGCATGAGAAGAGTAAAGCTTCAGGACACCATAAGAATTTGTGTTCACTTTATAATAGTACTAGTGGGTGGCACACACGATGTGTGTGCAATTTAAATAAGTAGGAATAAAAAAAATAATAATGAAATTAATATTGTAATGTGTACTTAGCTTAAGTGGTATGAGTCTTCGTACTTAAACCCATGGTCATGGGTTCAAGCCTTGCCCATCTCTTTGTTTAACTTTTTTTTTAAAAATAAAACATACTGCCACATGGCATGAGGAGAGTAAAGCAAAGCAAGCTTCAGGACACCATATTATGTGTTCACTTTATAATAGTATAGATAGATAGATAGATGAATCCTGTGAACCCGCTCCCTACTCGTATCATCTTCCACAAATCGACTGACTTACAATTTGTGCGTTGTGGAAGATTCTTATTACAGGCAACCAAACAACGACGAGTACGAGGTGAAATAACTCAAAAATTTATTTACATATTTTGTTATAGGTCAATGATTTGAAAAATTCATTCCTAATTTTATTCAAATTTTTTTTCAGGTCAAATTTATCAAATCTATTGTCGAATCAGACGACCAAAGAGTGGCATATTTGGTCAGTATACACATTCCATCACCGGCGATAACTATTCAACTCCCACTAATCTGGTAAATAAATCCTTCATCTGTTATGTGCAAATGATTTCAGACAAGTAGAAATCAGTTCTCAAATGATTTCTGAAGTATAGCCGAGTATTTTTTTACTTTCAGATCTTTTGTGATTGGTCTGAACTGTTTCAACCTTTTGCCAAGAAGAATAGCCACTAATCTGATAAATAAATCCTTCATTTGTTATGAAAAATGATTTCAGACAAGTGGAAATCAGTTCTCAAATGATTTCTGAGAATTTGTAGACGAGTATTTGATATACGAGTTGTTTTGTGATAAATTCTGAACTGTTTGAACCCTTTGCCACGAAGAGAAGTTGAGCCGTGAGTACCTGATAAATAAATCCTTCATCTGTTATGAAAAATGATTTCAGAGAAGTGGAAATCAGTTCTCATGATTTCCCAAATGATTTCTAGGAATTTGTAGACGAGTATTTGATATATGAGTTGTTTCGTGATAAATTCTGAACTGTTTGAACCCTTTGCCACTGAAAACTAGTTGAGCAGTAAGTACCTGGGACACCTGGCTGGTCGTCCCCCGGGTCATCCGGCCGGTCGACCTCTCTGTCCTCCCCTTCGGCCCTTGCTTCTTTTGCTTAATTCTTCTTTTATCTCTTCCTTACTTCTTCTTCTACTGATTTTTTTTTTGTAATATTTAAAGACAATGTGACCTTATTTTTTTTATTATTTGTGGTTATATTTGTACTATTTAAATTCAAATAATCTGTTATGTATTTTTTTTCTTGAAATAAAATCATCTGCTTTTTATTTTTTATCTGTGTTCTCCTTCAAACCATTTTGCTCTATTGTTCTTGTATATCCACCCCAGACTAGTTTAAATATAATTTGTATGTTTATAGATGGATGGAAATAATTCCGATGACAATCAAGATACAAAAATGTGGACGCCCAGAATTGAAACGAAATTAATAAATATGTTAAGAGATAAGGTTAGAAAAAATCAAACAACGGGCCGTACTACTTTATGGACAATTAGGCATTGGAATCATTATGCAAATCAGCTGCACAACATGTATGGATTTCGGTATACAGGAAAGCAGGTGCGGCAAAAATATCAGCGATTGAAAGCTGATTACCAGACATTTAAGCGACTCCAAGCACAGACTGGTCTGGGATGGGATCCCATTGTAGGCACTATTGTTGTACTCGATGAATTTTGGGATAAGGTTTTTCATTAATCTGTACTATTTCGAAATTTTATTTTAAACATTTCATGATACATACAGTGCTTAATTCTATATTTGTAAATGTTGTAGGCTAGCAAAAATGTGAAGAAGTTTAGGACAAAAGGATTTGAATATTTCCAAGAAATGGCAGAAATTGTTGAAAATTGTTGTGCCACAGGAGCCTTGTCTCATGCATCCACACAAGGAGCCCTTGACTCAGAAGAAGAAGATGAAATGTTAAATAAATTTTGGAACCTTGATATTGGTGGGAGTAATGCTGCTGAGGCCATTCTTGTTGACTTATTCGGCGATGAGTACATGGATCCAACAACAGCAAAGGGCAAAAGTCACAAGAGGGGCCCTACAACCAGCCAAACTGACAGTGATCGTTCCAAAAAGTCACGGTCAAGTAGGTTAGATGTAACAACCCTCACCTTACTCTTGCCATACTTGCATACATTCTTGCATGGTCTTGCTTGTTATGTTAATTTGAAAGTTTTGCCTTGTCTTGATCTGCTTAAAGTTGCTTGCATGATTTTGTTCTTTGCTTAGTGTATGTGTGTGCGTAGCCGAGGTCATCTTGAGCTTAGTCCGCCTTTGACCCTTATGCTTAGAACTATCTTGAGATCTTGTCCAACCCCATCTTCACCTCGGGCATTCTTTGCCGAGATGTTTTGCACTTGAACCTTGTCCGCAGGCAGGTATGGCCTAGGCCGAGATGTGGCGCACCCCGGCCAAGGTGTGGCACAGCTTAGTCAAGTGTCGTCCTCCCGAGCCGATGTTTTGTTATCCTGTTGCTGGATCCTTGTTTTCAGCCGATGTCATCTCTTTGCCGATGTGTCTTACCCGAGCTTGCTGCATACGCTTTGTCAGAGACTTGTCTTGTCTATCAATCACCTTTTTGGGGCTGAACCAATCCGATAGCGCCACGTGTCCGAGCTAATTGTTAAGGCAGCCGGCAGACCCTAAAACAAATCATTTCTTGTCTCAAATCCTTGTTTTAGAGAGAGAAGCTCTAGAGAGGAGGAAGAAGAGTTCTTGAGTGAGAGTAGCCCTGTTGGCTTGATCCTTGTGGCTTGGACCGTTAGATCCGAGTTGGTGGCTTGAGTTGTTGAAAGACTACGATATGCAGATTCAATATCACCCCGGGAAAGC